CCTTCCTTCCTTCCTTCCTTCCTTCCTTCCTCTAATTTTTGCTTGTTGTTTATTTCTTTCCATGCTGGCAGATTCCGAAAAGCAAGGAAGGCCATCCCGTCAGTGTCTCTTCCAAGGAAGATAATTTCTCAGGCAAGGCCATGAAACGGATTCCTATTGTGATTCCACCCTGGGATGGAGTCAGGAGGGGGCAAAATTGACTGGCTTCCCCTAGAATGGCCCCCAAACTGTGTTGGTCCTGCCGTGTTGCTCCTGAAAAACCTCAGGGTCAAGATTCTGGACCTCATACTACATTTGTTTGTGTGTGTATACGTATATATAGGGGATGGGGGTGAGAGACAGACGTCTCAAGACACATAGATCGCACATTCCAAAAGACATCTTTCTCTGTTGTGTCCATCTTTTTACATTTATTTCTTACAGATATATAGATCTGGTCTCTCTCTTTCTGGTTTTTACTGGTAGAGAGGTTCTCTCTATATTTCTTTTGTAGATAAATAGAGTAATTTATATTTAACAGGAGAAAACGAGAGAGAGAGAGAACAGGAGAGAGTTGGCCTCACAATAGTTGCATTCTCAAGATGCTTAACCAGATCACTGAATTGACCCATTTTCTGGGTTCATGTAATATGAGGAATGATTCACTAACCAAGTGACCTTTGACTGCACCATCACGGCTGCTTTTTTTACTTTTCTGACCATGCCTTGCGGACAGCCTTGCTTACCATTGCTGTGCAAATACAGCCCCTGTAGCTGACCTGGGTAAGGGTGTTGTGTGAACATGGTCAGTATGTGAAGAGTAAGACTTCAGCAACGTAGTATAGCAACTCTCTCACGTGGGACATTGGCTGGGATCTCTTCTCCAGCTTCGACACGGATATTAGAGATATTTCTCTGCTTTGGGGAATATTTATTTTTTGTTACTTGTTTTCTTTGTGTTTAGATAAGAACAAGGAACACAGCTTTTTCATCACAGACTCTGAACACCCAGGAGACTTTTGGAGAAATATAGCAGGTAGGTGCAGAAAGGGGCGTCGGGGGAGGAAGCAGAAGCAGAATTCTGCTACACGTATTTACTCCAAAGTAAACCCGCTGACTTCTGTGGTGTTTGTTCCCTAGCTGGCATGCACAGGACGTCAGCTTGAAAATTCTTAATCAAATGACTGAATATTTTGGGTTGTTTTTTTCCCCCCCAAAAAATAAAAATAGAACAATCCTGAGTAGATACAATAACTAAGGGGAAAATGCAAATAGGCAGGGGTGGTGCGGTGTTAATAGCAATAAGATTATTAATTGCTGGGCATATTTCAGCAGGAAATTTCGGAAATATATCAGGTTACACAATGGAGCAGGCTGGAAGAAAAAAAACATAAAATGACAATAATTGAAATGTTCTCTTTGAAACCTTCCATTAAAAAGGATCACAGCTTATTGCTTTTAATATCTGTCAGAGAGACATTAAAGGTGTTTTATGAGATCTAAGGCAACATTTATATTATCTCCGTGATAATGATCTCTACACAAAATGTATAATACATTGACAAAAATTACATTATACAAATTAAATGGAACCACCTTTTACTGATTGCTAAATGTCTCCAAGGGGTTTGGGGAGGGGAGGGAAAAAAAACGTGATTAGAAGTTTTGATACTAAGTTGGGTATTGCCAGGGAGGGTTGTAAGAAAAAGGGGGTTTTGTTTCATGGGAGACAGAAAAGGGGGGAGGGAATCTAATTTTCCATTTATGTAATGCAAACTGTCTTGGCTTTGACTATTCACGGTTAATTGACTGTCAAACGAGGTTGTTATCCTGAGGCTACGTCTGCAAATTTGCCTGTCAAATGAGACAGAGAAAGCAAGCCAGAGAGAGAGAGATGGAATAGAATGGAAAGCAGTTGCAAAATTGGATCCCAAAGAAATCTTATATATAAAAGCAGGGTGAAAACATTTGGAAACTCAGAATTACGAAAAACAAGGCAAACGCTCATCCAGCCTGTAGAAACCTGGGTTTCGCTGCCCGAGGAATGCTTTCTTGGAAAGATTTCACCTGATTTTTTGAAAAAAGTCTGAAAGAAGAGGCTGGGGAGAGAGGAAACAATAGCCTTTTAAGTAAAGTGAATGGATGATCAGAAGAGAAATTGATATTAGAATGGGGCCAGAGATAATCTGGTCAGTATCAGCAGGAAAATATTATGGAGCGAATTATTAAGATGACTGGGGGTGTTGCTTAATTTTTTGTAATGTGGCACGTTATGATAAACTAAAGCATGGGTAGAAATTAAAAACACTATTCTGGATATTTACTGTCTGTCTGTCTTATATAATCATAGCACATTCTCTCTCTCTTTTTTTTTAGTTGTCATCCCATTTCATGTTATTTGTGTTGCCATAGGTTGAGGTGGTCCCTTGCCTTTTAGACCCTGAATGCACATCTGCCTTCAGCCTCACTGCTGTGGGCCAGCTCCACCAGGCAATAGCATTAGCTTGTAAACAGTCTGGTAGCCCCTGAAAGACTGATGCATTTATTATGACGTGAACTCTTTCTAGGCCAAGTAGAGTCCGCTTGGTGAGCTGTTAGTGGGAAAAACAAAGTGAATCTGCCATGTTCAAAGGCAATATAGAAGGAGACGTATAATGGCTTACTTTGCCCGCCTCTGCAAAACATAATATACCTGTGTGGGCTTTCCCAAATCATCTTGCTGCCAAAGGACTAGAGGACCCCTTGACCTGCCCAGAAGGTTCATCTCAGATGTAGAATTATTTCACACCGATGTTGTTAACTTTCTAAATGGCCAGTCATACCTTGATCCTCAGGTTTCCCCAGCAAGGTGCTATCAAACTATTTCTCCTTTCATCTCACTCCTAGTGCACAATGCTCTCTTTCTGTCTGTTGGAGATCCTGCACCAACTCCATGACCTTCTAAACCAGACTTCTCCAAGTTGATGTCTTCCGAGCATGTTGGAATAACGGCTCCCAGTATTCCCCAACTGGTTTGGCTATATTGACTTTAGAAGCCTGGGAACCTTTGCCTAAACTTATTGCAAAGGCACCAGGTTGTGATTAGTTGTTTCTAACTCTCTACTAGCTTCTTCCTTACCCAAACATTGAAACTTGGGACTTTTGCTCTTCTAACTTCTTTGTCCTCAGCTTTCTAAAGTGGAAGCTGGACACTTGGAGAACTACAACCACATGTGGATTTTGGACCTATGTTAAAACCTGTCTGTAAACAGTCAGTTTAGAGAGAGTCAGTTTGGTGTAGTGGTTAAGGCACTAGGCTAGAAACCGGGAGACCATGAGTTCTAGTCCCGCCTTGGGCACAAAGGCAGCTGGGTGACCTTGGTCCAGTCACTCACTCTCAGCCCTAGGAAGGAGGCAATGGCATACCACTTCCAAAAAACTTTGCAGGTCCAGGCAGTCCCAAGGAGTCAACACTGACTCAAAAGCACACATACACGCACACAAACAAACCTTAAACAGTCACTTTAGACGTCAGGCAAGTTCCATCTGTTTACTCTCTTATTGCTTCTTGTTTAGGACAAGGAATGTCAGGAAAAGAGAGAGAGATGCTAGAAAGAAAACATCAGAAATAAGGAAGGAATAGCTTGAGCCTTTTGTAGCCCTGGACCCATCCATTATTTGTTTCAACTTCACCCATGACTGGAGTGTTCCTAAGGGAACTTGCCTACCAACTGGGAAAAACTGGATTTTATGACTGGTCTAAAAATCCTTCCTTTAACTGACTTTTTTCTACCTCATATGCATGAAAATGCTTTTCAACATTTTTACATGATTTGGCCTCTGCTTTCCCCAATCCAGCTTTTATATTAAAACATGGGCAGGTGCCCTTTAGAAGGGCTACATACCTGGACTGCAAAGTCTGGCACGATCTCTAGATGGAAGCAAAGAGTATGTTGTATGTGTGTTTGTTGACATCTAGTGGCTATCTGGAGGTATGGTCCAGAACGAGTAGCCTGATGTGGAAGAGGATGGAGGCGGCCTTGAAGAAGAAATTCAACCATTTTGTAAACACCAGCTTAGCCTGGACGGTGGAACGGGTGATTCTCTTTAGAATAAGAGGAGAGAAAGACAATCTCAATCAGACTTTCAAGATTCTGTTGTTATACCCTACAGCAATATTTATTATTTCATTAAATTTGTGGTGGCTGTCCACTCCAGTGGACTCCAGGCAGCTCTAGAATTCTAGCAGTTCATATGGTGTCTGTTTCTTGATCTGGTCTACCTCAACCCTTAGTCTGTGTACAGGTAGTCCTCGGTTAATGATGGTAATTGGAACCAGAATTTCCATTGCTAAGCAATGTGGTCATAAAAGGTGACGTCACATGACCGCATCACTTAGCAACAGCAATTCCAGCATTCCCTGTTGCGGTTGTTAAGCAAGGATTGCAGGTTGTTAAGCAAGTCCCAGATGGCTCATGAGCAGACTGGCAGGGGGAGGGTGCATGGGTGGCCTATCAAGCACCAAGTGAGTGCGGTGGGGCTGGGAGTGGCTGCTGCTGGGGGTGGGAGAGTGCGTATGACTTGAGGTCTTCCCTGCCACCTTCCCCATTAACTTTTCTTGTGGGAAGTCGGCAGGGAAAGTTGCAAGTGGCAATTGTGACCGCAAGGAAGCTGTGACGGCCGGAATTTTGAGGACCGGTCATAAGTCCTACTCTTTCAGCAGTGTCATGACTTCGAACAGTCACTGAACGACTGGTTGTTAAACAAGGACCACCTGTATCTTATAGTGACTATGGGTAAAATGCATGTAACATTCACACAAATATACTTAACCTGGTTTCTCAACCCATTTTCTGGATTCTCACATTGAATCAAACAGTCTGGGTTTGCATAGAATGTTAACCAGACGTAGCACACTGTGGGAATGTAACTGCTAGGCTTTTACATGACCTGGTTAAGCTTATTGTATGAATGCAACAAATAAGTATTCTGTGAAATACTACTGCTTCCTTCCCATCCTTTGTTGCTTCTTTATGTCAAATTTAAGATTGTAGGTTGTTCAAGGCAGAGATTTGCTTCTCGTGCTTTGTAAGTATTTTGCATATTACTGTAATATCACCATTTTAAGGCTACCATATTTGGGTTGCAAAATTGGAAATACCAGTAGATGGCAGCAATGGGATACCGAAGAAGCCCTTTGCTGCCATCCTGTGGTCATGTGGGATTTTCTAGCTCCAATCTGGTAGCCCTGGCTATGTACTAGGCATTGTACTGTTTGAAATAGCCTGATGTTTTACTATCCTCTGATTTCTGAGGCTTCTCTCAGTCTCAGTTGTGATTTGCCAGATAGCCTGGGGGAAGGCCTGCTGTTCAGGAAGTATGAATCTAAAGCCCCATTAGATACTCAGTGGTAGAACCCCTTTGCACACACAAGGTCCCAGTTTAATTTATGGCATCTCCAGTTAGAGAAGAATCAAGTAACAGGACCGAATGAGGCTGTGGACCTTTACTGCTGGTCACCCCAGCTCAGGACCTCCTGTACAAACAAGCTCTTCCGCTCTGGGCTATCAGATCTGGGCTGCAAGTATCTGATGACCACTAGATGGCAGCCCACAGATACAGAAGACCCTTTATTTGCTGCTATCTAGTGGCTGTGTATCTTTTTGCAGCTCAGATCTTAAATCTTATATTTTTAGTTTTTAGCTATGTTGGCTTAGAGGTCTTAAGATCTCTGGAGGTCTTAAGATTGAAGAAACCTGGAATATGCAATATTAGAAATTGCATGACCAGTAAAGCCTCTTAGATGCAGATAGATAGATAGATAGATAGATAGATAGATAGATAGATAGATAGATAGATAATGAGCTCACATGACAATATACTTCACATCCATTAAAGGCAGTGGAAAACAGATAGTATGCAATTTATGACTTAGGAAGGCGCCCTGCGTTCTTCAGTCCTTTGCAAAGTTACAACAAACACTGTAACTGTGGTCATCCTTCTATGTATCTTACATCACTTTGAGTGAATTTATTTCTTCATGAAATTTCTGATCTGTTTTCATCATCAAAACAGTTTTCCCATGCCTAGCAACAGCCCCTGGGTTTCTTGGGACTGCAACTCCCAGAATTCCCAGCTGTCATCCCCAAAGGATAACTGGGATTCTGAGAATCAGTCCCAGGGCTGGTGGACCTGGTTGAGGACGTCTGCTTTGTCGTTGCCGTAATGATATAGTTTTGCTATTAGAATACAATACGTGTCAACCAAGTGCACATTTTTAGAGGATTTTACTTGGTTCAGCCCTCAGTAGTAAAACTATTGTTTGTGGTGATAGACTGTTCCTCATTGGTTCAAAAATTAGGTACTCCTATTTTGCTCCACAGTTGTCCTTTGATATCTGGTTCTCCTAAACCCTTGTGAAGTTTTTCCATCTGAAAGAAGGAACGTGTTAACTGAAGCTCTGGGAGACAGGAAGGGAGTTCCACATCTTTCATATTCACTGAAATATGAGCTGTCAACCCATTAAGAACTTCCAGTTGATTAAGCATCTTCCTTTTAATTACTCCATCAATTATATTTAAATATATATTATTACCAAACTTCAAGAGGAATACCATTTTGTACAGTGAAGTGAAGGAAACGTAAGATAATTTTAGAATTTAATAAACAAAACATCCGTTATAAAAAAAATGGAGCAATATAATTTTTAATCATTTTCTTTTCTTTCTCTGTAATAGTAACACATTAGAGCTAGCTTCTCTTTATGAGCCAAAATACGTTTGTAGCTGACAGCAACAGTAACTAACACTGGCCTCCACCAATTATTCAGACTCTAATGGATTAATCTACCAATTGAATTAATAAAAAACGCTAGCCGTAACTTTAGTACATGATACTGTACTGAGGAGTCTATCTACCTCTGTTGTAGCCAATAGGAAACCCTCACTGATTGGATAATAGGTGTGTGTTTATTAAAAAAAATACATTACCATTAGCCCTGCATAATGGAGAAGGCTTTATAAATCTTACATGTAAGAATATAGTTTACATAAATGGTAAAATATATGCATGTTATCAAATATTAAAATGTAAGAATGTAAGCAGCGACCTGCTGGATGGGACCCCTGACTCTTCTAGTCCAGCAGTCTGTTCTCACAGTGGCCAGCCTACTGCCCAAGAAAGCCCCCTAGCCTTCCAGCAGATGGCCCTCAGAGGCAGTCCAACTGCCATCCAGGCTAATAGCCATTGACCCACAGGACTTCCATGAATTGGTCCAACCTTTGAAGCCAGCCAAGCTGGTAGCCAGCACCACCTCTCTTGGTAGTGAATTCCAAAGTTGACTTACATATTGGGCAAATAAGATCCATTTGTCTGTCCTGATTCTTCCAGAAGTCCATTTCATTGAAGAGTAAGAGTAGAACCTTACATTGTGTTGCTTTTATTCACCATGGATTGTGACATATTAATGTGAATATCAGCACCTTGGCTCAATCCCAAAAAGATATTGTGGAACACTACTGTACTATACCTACCTAAAGTAAAACTGAAGGGAGCTGGACTCCTGGTGACTTCATGGCCAGACCCATGTAGTCTCCTAACAAGATGGAAGCAGTTTGCCATTGTCGTCTTTAGAAAGCCTTTTTCTCTTTCCAGATCTGGTCTACCACCTTGGGATTTCCCTGTGGTCTCTCTTCCATAGACTAACCAGGTTGGATTCTGCTTAGCTTTTTGAGATCATCTGAGGTCTTAGGTGTAATGCATACTCAAAATAGAACCTACCAAATCTGCAGGGCTTGCTTCCAGTTAAATAGTTACAGGACTGCAATGAATTCAGAAGAAGTGGAACAGTCTTTGAAGTCAGGACAGTTAGCTGATGTGAACTTACACCTAGGCAAAATATACCACAATAGAGTGGTTGGCATCCTTGGAATTTTGGAAGAACTTTGTGGGTAATCTCATAAAATGTATGTCATGATAGGCATGGCCAACTACAACAGACCAGGAGATGAACTGGTGAGATTGCTCCTTCCTGCCACATCTGTGCCCCTCCACGTCCCCAGAATGTTTCAACCATCCCAGTTTACTTCTGTTTTTTGTCTTTTTTTCAAAGGATAGGCCTGCAATTGTCTACCATCTCTATTTTCTAAGAGTAGAGAGGCCCTGTGGGCTAGCAAAGGATTCTTTTAAATAAAGATTTCATGGTGTAATGTGCTATGGAACACACACATACAGCCCATTTACTTTATGGTCCAGTT